TCAGCCATTCGAAAGTAAGCTGAGCAAGGCAAACAGCAGGTGTGATGGCGCCACGATAAATTCGCCAAAAGGGCACATTTTTTGTGAAATATAAACTTGTCAGAAGTTGTGATAGTACGAGGACGAAGCTATAGGAAAGAAAATGGATATAGGGATCAGGACAGAACGAGGAGTGATAGCACAACCGTCTTGACATAAATTTGGCTAAGGGATTTACTTCACTTTTCTCTGATGAGTTGTAACTTTGTTGCTGTGACAGGCAGTACTCACTGACGATGCCGACTACGATGCCAGCGAAACGTTATCAGATTCGCGAAATTATTATACATATTATGGACTCCGAACTAGGTGAGTTCTCTAGGTTTCCTTGTTAATAAGACCAAGCTTCGAAAACAGGTCCTAATAACTCCTATGCAACGAAAGAAGACCGCGACCATACAAAAGACCACACCATCCTGGTCTGATAACTATGATTAAAACTAAGCCCGAAACGATCAAGGTTGTCTCGTCGATTGTGTCAATTGGAACGTCGTATTAAGGTCAAACGCCTGCAGTACAACGGGATTTAGCCGTCCTATTTTGATGATATCGGCCTTTGAATATATTCTTTATACAATCTTATACAATATAAACGTCTCACAATAATATAAAGACCGCTCTGACCGACAAAAAATTTGTCATTTCTTTTATAATAAATGTATATACCTTATTGTACCAATGAATCTTACATAGCATTGCATCTAAAATGACTGGTATTCCGGGTGGGTAACAGTTCCACCCTCGCCTAGCTCTCATCAACCACTACAAAAGTATTCGAAATCGAGTCCTGCACGCAAAACAGCAACTCTACTAATCACTATATTGTAGTAAGCTATTTGGAAAATACAATCCGGTTTTCTATTAGAATGGAAGAGTTTATGAGGTATATGCGAGGTCAAAACTGCTGTAAATTCTGGATACGAAAGTAGTGGAGAAAGTAAGGTTATTCTCAATTTAATGGCATCCTAAGATTCATTCATTTTCCTGTGAAAAATTTAACTAACAGTCATAGTATTATAATAAACAGCCTAGAATTCATAAAGATTTTCTTAAAGATCTATTGATGATTAAGTAAACTTCTGTATTTATTCCTCTTAAATAATAACTAGTCAAGAATTTCTGATCATATTGGCGAATATCAATAAGAAAATTACATTCAGAATAAAAACAGACTAAAAGAAAAAGCTGATGTTTAAAGCACCGAGCTTACCTCTACAGACTGATGGCGAAGTTCTCTATTGTAAGGACACGAAAATATCTCACAATCTGCAATAACAGCATTTATGATATCCTGCTCATGCTTCATATAATAGTCAAATTTCAGCTTGGTCTGAAGAAAAAAATACTTATCAAATAATGCAAGAAATTGATTGACAAATAAGTACGAATTCGAGAACTTTTATTCAAACAAAACTCTGTGAACCTACATTGTAGAATTCAGACAATTTACAGTTTATCTTAATCTATCTTGCATTCTAAAGAGGCAGATAGGATAAATAGGGAACCACAATTTTTATCAAGTCTAGATATCTACAGCACACTGTGTGGCTAAAACTAAGAATAGGCAAATAGAGGAAGTAGATTACCTCCTAATCATAGAGCCTTGAAGTAAGAAATTAGAAATAACTCCCAAATCAAGGTAGGCCGTTTTTGATTCACAGTAATTAAAGATTCACTGAAATTCATATGTTTACCTGCTATTATGACAGACCGCTGTACTCTTGAAGTACAATCGAAGATTTTAGGAACAATATAATGTAAACTGTATTTTTCCCGAAGTGTCTTTTAGTTGCAAGGACGTGGTATGACCTTATTTTCGCAATTCAGTAATTATGTGAGAGACCTTGGTGAAGGTACCTTGTCCAGAGTTCAATGATATAATAACCACTATGATCTCCACCACTGGACCGTTTACTTGATACACTCAAACAATATGTTAGTAGATGTAATCTGATGATCATTATGCCTGTAATTTATTTTTGAATAGTCTCCTTCTAAGTGTGCTGTTGTAGCAAATGATCTTGACATAGAGGAATCATCCTACTCCATTTTTAAAGTAAATTTTATGGAATGTAGATCAGGATAATGAAGGCCTAGCGGATATAGAGTCCCAAATAAAAATTCAACAAGTTAGCATAGATTTTCCTTAGTAACGTATACCTCTGGACAATTCGGATTCCTCGGAAGTTTATAGCATAGCATGCAGCTAATACTTATCAAATAATGCAAGAAATTGATTGACAAATAATTACGAATTCGAGAACTTTTATTCTAACAAAATTCGGTGGACGAGCCTTTTTTGTCTTCAGGTGAGAGAAAAAATGAACTAAAAGTACAGATAAGTGGTTGATTAGAACCAAGACAAGAAAAGACTAGTTGAGTCATCTCCTTTGTTCAGGCGGCTCAACATCCTCTCTATTCTTGACTCTATTAATGAAGCAAAATTAGTTTTTACTTAAATTTGTGCCGGTATTCCTTACTATCAATATATTCCCTATTCGGTTTATTTCGATGGTCTATCCTATTTTTCGTTTAGCCGTCAAAGATAAAACATAAGAAAAGGTCTCCTTATCTCTCCTTACGTATTCACCATTCAAAAAGGTATATGTAAGAAACAATCAGTGATGGCTTAAGGTAATTAGGACAGCAAAATTAACGTCTATTCATAGACATCACCGTTTTCTATCTATATATATATATATATATATATATGAGCTAAAAGTACAGAGAAGTGACCGTGATTAGAGCCAAGACAAGAAAAGGCTAGTTGAGTCATTTTCTTTTTGCAGGCGGCTCAACACCCTTTCTACCCTTAAGCCTATTAATTAAGCACAAGTAGTTTTTACTTGTGCTTAAATAATAGGCTGGTGTGTTCGCCTAGGTCATTCTGACACTAATGTTGCAAGAACGAGATCAAACCACTACTAAACAAATTGTATTTTATTACGTATTTGATAACTTCTAGGGTCCAAAATGGTATTTAATGAGGATCTAGTCCATGGCCTGTAAAAGGGCCCATCATGCATATATAAAGAACTTATACAGCAACCCTCAATTTTTAAAACTTGATAAAAATCTTTCATATACATGAGTTAATTAGAAATAATATTATAAGTCAGGCAAGTAAGAAGAATAAAAAATCTAATGAATATTTCTTGAGATATCTGAATATAGCAAATAACAAATAAGGATGGATTACGTGTGATGGAAATTAACCTACCGTAAGAATAACAGCTCGAGTATTGATATTGTAAATGTCTTCGACAAGCATTATCTCCGGTCGATCAATGATAGCGTGCAAATTTAACTCCCAAGGGCGGGGAGTAGTTTCAAGAACCGGGATAATTCGTTCATCTAGGCAGCCAATAAAAAGATTAATTAGAAGTCTCAATACCTCAAATTAAATATGTCCACAAGTTCGTTAAAATCAGCAAACAGATCCTTGTAATATATTACAATACTATCAAAAAGGTATTCTATAGGCAGAAAAACAGCCCAGGTTTAAGCAGATTATTCATGAAGCTAGCTACCCTAACAGAATACGAATTTTGGCCTCATCTGAATTTCATCTATCATACTTATTTATTTATTTAAGGCTTCAAAGCCATTCACTTGTATAATCAATTAATTAAAAATAGAGATGACTTTAGTTGTTTAAGTAGACTAACGAGAGGAAGATATCTAGAAAGCGTATATATACCTACTTATATTAATATTGACTAGGAATAAAAGAAAACATTTTTCCGGTTCGGTATTTACATATCAGCCATCGATACACACCATATAGATAACAATTACTGAGTGAGGAAATGAAGCAATAGCTACGAAGCGAAAACAACAAATTCATCAATATAAGATGTAATAGCTTTAACGCCTATTTATTGACAATACATGACTGAAAAATAAAGTATTTTGCTAGAATCAATGAGAATATCTATTAGTAATTGCATGCAGGAAATGGGTGCGAAATAGATGATATGGTGTATTAATGGAAGCCAAAGTAACTTAAGAACCAATAATACATTAGTGGAGGACAATAGTAAAGTTATGAAAAAGAAAAGGAGAAATAAATAGAGATAAATTTAAAAAGTGAAGAACAAGGAAGACTAAACTAAATGTCTACAAAGATGTCCTGCAAAAATTATGTGTAAAATGAATAGGTTTCGATAATCAGAAGATTATATGATTGAGCGCGATTCTGAATATCATCGTTTCGATCGCTAGCGTAGTTATGAGGCTTGGTAAATAGTAAAATTGTTTTACGAGATATAATTTAAGCGCATGTTTTTTCAGAGTGGTTTAAGACAAAACTGTGGATTGGTAATAACAAAATGAGAGCGAAATCTATTTAGATGTAATGGTATTTTCTTCGTCTATGATCCTTAAAAGTTCATGCATTAAATGATTATAATCTAGGGAAAGCTATAAACTTAAGATAAGGATAATAGCTTCAAGTTCAAGGGGTCACAAGAAAGATATGACATTCAATAAAAGCAAGACCTCTCCTAAATGAAGTGTAATGAGGTTGGTGTCGGTAAGAAACTCGCATTTCTATTAAAATCACTCTAAACCATAATAGTAGGTTGCAGAATGTACTAACTCCTTACCTCAATATAACTATAAACGATACATCCATTAATTTTATTCACTTGAATAGTACCAGTAAACCAGTGAATAGCTATACAAGGAAAATTCCTTAAATACTAAGAAAGAAGTTGGCAAAATATAATTAAAGTCGATGTGTCAAGGATAAATTGAAGACTAGAGTGTACTTCAAGAATTCAAGCACGTAAACAGAATCTTGATTTTAATCGACTGCATCGATATCTAGTAAAAAACCATATCAAAAGCTGAATCCAAGAGATTCCGCCTTAGAAGCAATTAAGTTACCCCGACCTACAATTATTACCGACTAACTACAAGGTAAGGATAGAGAGAAAAACAAGCCTCACAAAACTCTAATTTATTAGGCATAAGGTGGGGATTCGTTAATCACTAAAATCTCTTACCTTTGAGCACAACCTTATCGGTCTTCTTGGAGGTCAAGGCACGATCTAATATTCTCGCTTCGGTTATTGGCTCAAGTGATTTAATCGGCATCCGCATTTGATTTGAAGGTGTCGCCTGGACGAAGAAGTCGGTTAAAGCAATAAAATAGTCCACAGACGCACGCAAATATACGCTGCGTAAATGGATATTGACTATAAAAGAATGTATGTATACAATTGCGAAAAAAATAAGATTAGTGAGCGTATGCAATAAAATAAATAGTGACGAACAGTGATGTAAAATCGATTAGGTAAATTAGATTTTTAATAGGCTGATTGAGGAGAATAAGACGATATGCAGAAAAATTAATAAAGAAATCAAAGAATTCGAGAACGAGAAAGAGGACACAGTACCAAATTCTCGAGAATAAAATTATAAATATAGCCAGGGATGACTATAGATCTAGAAAAAATGATGGAATCAACTTACAAAAATATTCCGCATTGAGGAAAAAAGATAAACTAAACTACACCCTCTATGAAGATATGGATTAACATTTTTTAAAAATGCATTTAGGAAAAGTCACCATATTACTTCTGAAAAAGCACCAAAAAGCTAAATAACGAGGAAAAAATGTAGAAAAGTTAAGTTGAGATATGCACTGGTTTAAAATCGTCGTACTTTAATACCAAAAACATGTGCTCAACAGCTAAGCCCTATAAAACTAGTATACGAAGGCCAGTCAGTAAAAGATATCCAATTAATCCAAATCAATTACAACTACAACCATAAAAAAGGGATACGGTCATCAAGCGCACTTATAAAAATCTATATTATAAAAAATAAAAATATTATAGTTCAGGTTTAAGTTATCAATAAAAATTTAAGCAATTGTGCCCCATTGTTTCCACTTGTAGCTTTTACGGCCTTTAACTAAGAATGAATACCAAGATGTCGCCGACAGCAAATCAAGCTAAGCGTCTAATATTAAGGAAGTCGCTGTTTTGATTCTTGAAATAATCATGAAGAAAGTGGCAGAGAACACAACATAGTATACAAGAACTCACCGTCTTCACAATAATGCTATGAAAACAAGGTCAGAACAACTCCAAATAGCTGAGAAGACTGTGATCAGGACTTATAGTATAATACCTCAAGGTTAATAAGTCTAGAAGCAAAGATACAATGATTTAAAGAGCGAATCACACAT